AGTGCGGGTGACCCCCGGTGGGGTCAAGTGCGGGTGACCCCCGGTGGTGTCAAGTGCGGGTGACTCCGGTGGGGTCAAGTGTGGGTGACTTCGGTGGGGTCAAGTGTGGATGACCCCCGTGGGGTCAAGTGTGAGTGACTCCGGTGGGGTCAAGTGTGGGTGACTCCAGCCAGGCCGGCGGACCCCTCCTCTCCCTGGCTCACGTGTGGTGGGGAGGCCCTTGGGACAGCAGAGGCGAGAGCAAAGGTCCGGCACTTGCAGGTGCTGCACCTCTGCCATTCGCGTATTTTTATTTTGGTGCGCAACTCTTTACCGCTCACGTTTGTTTTTATTTTCCCGCTTCATTTTAATTTCGCGGGATTGCCATTATTTTTTTTTTGCTCCCATCAGTGCCCCCCCCCGCCCCCCCCCCCCCCCCACTACGGCACTTGACTTATTTATTTTCGCGTTGAATTTATCAGTGGGGGTCTGCGGGGGTGGGGGGCTCGGCATGCCACTCGTTACCCTAATTGGCTTCTCTGTGCGTCGCAAGTTTGCCGCGTCAAAGTTGGGAGGGGGTGGACGGGCGGGTGGTGGTGGTGGCGGCGGCGATGGTTGACGGGCGCTCGCCGGCGATGTCGCTCGCGTTTAAGGCGGTGGTGCCTCCGGCTCCGCGGTTGTGGACCCGACTGGCGGTGTCGAGGCCAGGAGGTCAAGTGACATCTCCCACTCGGCGCTGTCCGATGGGATCACGCCGCCGCCATCGTGCCGCCAGCAAACTGGCGCGGTTAAAACCGCAGGCGGTCGCGTGCCGCGGTGTGTGTGTGTCTGTGGGTGTGTCTGTGTGTGTGTCTCTGTGGGTGTGTGTCGGTGTGTGTCTCTGTGTGTGTGTTTGTTTGTGTGTGTGGGGAGCGGTGGTGTAGCAGTTAGTGTGCTGTGCTCCGAACCCGGCGACCCGAGTTCACTTCCTGCTCACGGCCAACACCGGTGACGATTATCTGAACTGGTCTCGGGCCTTCCCTAGGTCGACTCAGCCTCAAATGAGTACCTCGTGTATTGTGTAAGCATCGCCACTGGGGAGACAAAGGCGGCCGGGCGTGGTGCTAGCCACCCACTCCCCTCATGTGCCGTACCGGCCTTCAGAGGTGATCGCTAACAGCACTTGCTCTTACGGTCTGTCAAGGCTACACGGGGGATCTTTGTCTTTGTAGGTGTGTGTGCTTGTGTGCACGAGGAGTGGTAGTGTAGCGGTTAGCCGCGCTGTTGTACAAACCCGGGGAGATCCGAGTTCGATTCTCGCTCACGGCCGACAACAGTGGCGGATGTCGTGGCCGAGGCTGGCCGTCCCCAAGGTGGACTCGGCCTTAAATTAGTACGTATTTACTGTATGTACTATATGCATGTTGAACTTCTTTCACACCGCACGTAGCCAACCGTGGCAATCAGATGCGCGGCTTTGGGAGAGGAGATGATGGCTCCGAGTCTCCTGTGAACGGGCGATGAGGTGTCCCCGATGATTGCCCCTCCACTCTGGTCTGTTACCACGGAAACCCCCCCCCCCCCCACCATCACCAGCAGCTCTCCCTCGCCACCCCCCGCGTGTTCTCGCTACCCGGAGCAATGATCTATGACATGGTAATAACCATTATGTGTTAAGAAACAAAAGTGTGTGTGTGCATATTCTGTGTTGACTTGCACCTCTTGCTCCCAAACGCGTTGTCCGACTCGACTCGCGCGTCGTTTGCGTGGCTGTTAGACTCAAATGTGGAGCTCGCTTGCTTCTACGCCTGCGCCGAACGTGTTTTTCTCGTGGCACCTCTGCTCTCATCATATTTGCCCACCGGGTATTTAAAAAAAAACGATTCATTCTCGTGCGGTTCGTTTTTGACGGGCAGTTCGGCTGCACTCCTTCTCTGCATTGTCGACGCCTTTGTCTTTAAATTTCGATGTAAAGCTTCTTTCGTGACTGCAGGGATTCATATTATTGGTTCTTTCGGTAAAGTCACGTAGAAGGGAAATAATAAAATAATACAAATTTTAAATAATACAATTCTCACGACGTTTCGGCCACAACGCAAGCAGCAGTTGTGGCCGAAACGTCGTGAGAATTTTATAATGTTTTATTTTTATTATTTCCCTTCTACGTGACTTTACCGAAAGAACCAAGAATATGAGTCTTTGTCTTTGGTAGAGGCTTTTTTGTTTGGGTTAGATCGCGTAAGATATCAAACGGTACTCGAATTGTAAACGTTGTAGTGGGTTTACTCTGCAACACACAACCGGTGTGCGTGGACTAGTAACGAATTGGCACGTTCTGTTTACGTGGCAAACCTTACTCATCGGCTGTATCGGGTGGTGGCGGCGTTAACGTCACATTTATATATTTACGCGATCTAATTTCTGCTATGGATAATAGTGGTCGTAAAAGCCTACTGAGTTTTAAACTCACTGACCGCCTTGGTTGCTGCTGCTGCTGCTGCTCCCGTGTCAAATATCCCGGGCGACCGGCTGCACGGGACCCCAACAAATCGTCGGTGCACGCTCGGGATGAGATCGTGTGGGGCAGAGAGAAAGAGAGAGAGTTGGGGGGGGGGGGGAGACGTGGATTAGAGGGGAAGCACAGGTTGATGACGTCAACCAAACTAAAAGTGGGGCCTTGGGCAGGACGCGTCGCGGCGACTCGCCCAGGAGCGTGAACCGCGCAGCGGCAGCGGGGGGCAGGCGGGGGATGGGGCCACTAAATCTTTGCACAGATGGGAATAAACCCACTTGCTGTACTATCGTAATCTGGCCATGAGCCAGGAAATCGTTTATTTTTTTTATGTTACCAGCTAAGGCTCACTGAGCTACACGCGTAGCGCTTTTTCAGAAGCGACCTGGCTATCCACTGATGATGGCTCAGCGAAGTAGCTTGTCGTTGCGTGGAGACAAAAATCCATGTGACCACGGGGAGAGAGAGAGAGAGACGCAAACTCCAAATATACAGCAGCAGGCGTCGGGGTCGGAATCGAACCCACGACCTCCTGAAAACCAGGCGAGGTAGTTGACATCTCCTAGTTACCGCTGTGCCCTGGGCTTGACCCCTGACATCTGACCCCGAGCATGTTCCCCGTTGACCCCTGTGACCCCGCGGTTTTCCCGAGGGCGACGCCGGTGATTTTTTTTTTTACCCAGAAACTACGGCAAATAACCCAGCCGGAATGCGGATGGCATTCCGTGAAGGCGGCAGTAATATTACTCGTCATGTAATGAGAAGGGGGCAGCGATAGGGGCAGTGATGGGGCAGTGATAGGGGCAGTGATAGCGGCAGGGATAGGGCTTGGCATGGTCGTAGCTGGGGGGTGGGGGTTAGGCCTCGGCTGATCACCGCCGCCGCCGCGTTCATCCGAGGCCTCTCCGGCGGGCGAGGCTGGAGGCCACTCATCACCGCGTCCTGCACGTGGCCGCCACCACCAGGGTGCTGGACTGCTGATTGGTCAGTGATGAATGAATAGTGTCGGTCTTTACCCGCAAAATCGAATTATTTGATATAAACGTGCACGGCATGGGGGGGGGGGGGGGGGGGGTTGTGTTGGTGGATGGGGCAGGGGGTCCGGGTGACCCGGCGAGGTGCTGGTGACCCGGCGCTGGAGAGAGCGGCATCTGAACTTGAATTCCACCAAGATGATCCGCTGGCACGCAGGAGCGAAAACTTCGGGGCGGTCCGGCCCGGGTGACGTGGTGTGCCGGGGGGGGGGGGGGGGGGGGGGAGCTCGAGAAACGACATGAGAGTGAAGTTCTGCCATTATTTTATTATTTTATTTTAACGCGCCATTGCGACGCTCCCAGCACCGCGTTACATAACGGCTCCTCCTGTCGTAACGCAGCCCGGCAATAAACTACGCGGCGGCCATTCCCTGACTCCCCGCCCGCCCGCCCCACCCACTTGCTTTCTAACGAGCAAGGTTATAATGACATTCCTGCCGCTTTGGTAATGACTTAATTGAAATAGAATTTAAATGTCTGATTTGCATAATTGGCCAGGCCGTGGTACAATGGGAAATCATTTCTCAAAGCAGTCGCTCGCTCTCCGGCGCTGTCGTTACGGGATTGGGATAATTCATTTTTTTCCCTCCCCACTTACGCTCCGTGTAAATGTTGACGGATCGCCGTCGGCCGTAAACAATGCGTTCGCGGTTCCCCTGACAACGCGCCGGCGTTGGCGGTGTTTACCGTGTCGCCGCATCACAACGGCAGCGGCGACGACGACAACAACAATAATTGACGTGTGCCAAGTGGCGCATTTCATCCGTAGGTCGCAATGCGCCACTCCTGTGCAAGGGAGGGCAGGCGATAAATAGAACCTGCGGGGTAAATGGCCAGAACTTAAACTGGAAACATTTATAGCAGCCACGTAAAGTCCAACTGAGCCATGTGACTCTTTTTCAGAAGCGACGTGGCCATCACAAACGATAGCACAATGAAAGTGGTTTCTCATCATTGTCATCATCGCGTGATGTTGATTCTAAATGTGGAGGGGAAAACGGAGGGCCGGAGGACCAGAGAAAAATCCACCCAACCACGGGGAGAGAGACGCAGACTCCAAATATACAGCAGGCGTCATGAGGGTCGGGATCGAACCCACGACCACCTGTATACCAGGCGAGGGAGTTAACATCTCCTAGCCACCGTGTGTGTTTAGTGTCTGATACTGGTGAGACTAGGCCATAAAGAAGCCTGCCTCTGGTGGAGACCAATCAGTTTCAAAGACGATGCAAGTTTCTTATCGGAGCGCGTTGGTTTGCATGCTCACCGCACGAACTTTGTGTGATTCCTTGCAAAAGGTTTCTATTTGGTGTTTGAACATCTGAACACCTCCTGTTTTAGTGGCAGAAAGGGTAAATCACCTGTAATAATTTTTGTCATAACTGCGTTTAGTTTGTTGTCTTTCCCCCGCACCTCCGATGAGCACGGTGACATTTTGATACGCACAATCTATCAATCAATTGACCCCCCCCCCCCCCACACCGCTTGTATCCCAGCGTTCCTGTCGGAGGATGAGCTGCTGCAATCTGGGAATGACGGAGAGGACGAGGAGAGGTCGGAGGTCAGCGACTCGGGCGCCAAAGACGACTCCGCCTCGGAGCTGCCCGAGGCGCCGCCAGCGCCGGCGGGTGGCGGAGGAGGAGCCGATCCTCCCCGGACGGACGAGGACTGCAACGGGCGCGCGAAGCGAGCTGGCGACACGGTAGCGGTGGCGGCGGCGCCGGCAAAACCCCTCCGCAAAGACTCGACCGACGCGGGCGCCGGCGAGGCCGGCGGCACCGGCGCCGTGGTCTCCGACGGCGCCGAGGACCCGGCGAAATCCGACCGTGGTGATGAGAAAAAGGGGCGGGCGGAGGCGGAGCCCCGGGCGCGCGACGCCGGCAGGACAGCGCCGTCGCTCGGGGAGAAGCGGCCGGCGCGGCCCGACGAGCGCAAGGAGAACGGCGCCGACGGAGGCCTGGCGCGGGAGAGCTTCGCGCACATGAAGGCCATCTACGCCAGCCTGCTCTCCCACCCCTACTGGTCCACCGTGGGTTACGGCCACGGCCCGCCGGCGCTCGGCAAATCTGGCGGCGGCGGCGCAAACAGCGGCGTCAACGCCGACAGATACGGCGGCGGCGGTGGCGGGGGCGGGGGGGGCACCGGGGACGGCGGCGGCACCTTCAACTGGCACCGTGCGGCGGTGGCGCGGACTATGCAGCAGCACGCCGGGACTCCCGGCAAGCACGCCGAGTCGTCGTCGGCGTCGTCCGCGGGGACCGGGGGGCCCGGCGTGGCGCGTGCGGCGGCGCACGCGACGGGCGGGCGGCCCAGCCCGCCGGCGGCGACGGGCGCCAGCAAGTTCCGGTGCAAGGACTGCAGCGGCGCGTACGACACGCTGGTGCAGCTGACGGTGCACATGAGCGAGACGGGCCACTATCGCGACGAGAACGTCGACCGCGACGGGCACCGCGACCGCCGCTGGTCCAAGGCGCGCAAGCGCTCGCTGGTGGACATGGAGAGCGAGCGGGAGGCGCAGAAGGTGCTCAAGTGCATGTGCTGCGGTCACTCGTTCGAGTCGCTGCAGGACCTCAGCGTGCACATGATCCGCACGAAGCACTACCAGAAGCTGCCGCTCAAGGAGCCATTCTCGGCCGCCGCCGCCGCCGGCGCGGGCCACGCCGCCAGGCCCGGCCCAGCCGTCAAGAAGAAGGCGCAGGCCGACGGGCACCGCCTCGGCGATGCGGGATCAGAGCGCAAGGGCGCCGGGTCGGCGCCGTCCTCTGACCGCGCTTCGCCGGCGGGAAAGGCCAAGCCGGGGCAGCAGGGAGCGCCGTCGAACAGCCGGTGCGGCTACCAGAACGGCGCGAGCTACGCGTGGCAGTTCGAGGCGAAGAAGTCGCAGATCCTCAAGTGCATGGAGTGCGGCAGCTCGCACGACACGCTGCAGCAGCTGACGGCGCACATGATGGTGACGGGACACTTCCTTAAGGTCACCAGCTCCGCGCTCAAGAAGGGCAAGCACGTGGCCTTCGAGCAGCAGCAGCCGCCGCCGGCGCCGCCGTCGCACGACGCTAAGGTGCAGGCGGTGCAGCCGCTTCCGAGCAGCGTCGCCGTGCCGACCACCGCCGGCGCCGCCGGCGCCGCCGGCCACAAACCGCCGGCGCCCGCCGCGACGGAGGCGCGCCCCAAGCCTCCGGCCTCCACGTCCGCGTCGCTCCCCCGGCCGCCGCCGTCCCCGCAGCAGGCGCCCAACGGGCCCCCGGCGTCCCCGTCGTCGCGCTGCCCCGCCCGCAGGACGTCGCCCGCGGGGGGCGGCCCCCGCGACGCGCCGGCGGCCGGCGGGGGGAGCCCCCCGAGCTCGCCCGCCCCGACGCCGCCGGCGGCGTCGCCCGCCAAGGACCCAGCGGCGGCGGTGGCGCAGCGGATGCCGGACGAGGCCTCGCGCGGAGCGGCGGACAAGGAAGACGGCGGCGGTGGTAAGAGCGCGAGAGAAGGGAGCGGCCGGGGGAGCGCCGCCGGCGGTTGCACGGGCGGGGAGGGGGAGCCGTTCTCGCGGTACCTGCGCGAGGAGGACCTGGGCAGCAGCAGCGGCGCTGCAGCCGGACGCGACATCCTCAAGTCGCTCGAGAGCATGGTGTCGTCGGCCATCGACAAGGCACAGAACGGCGCTCCCAGCTGGGGCGGCTACCCCAGCATTCACGCCGCCTACCAGATCCCCGGCCTGGTGCGGCCGGGCCGGCCCGACGAGCCGGCCAAGGAGCTCCTAGCTCCGAAGGTGGAGCAGCAGCAGCAGGAGCAGCTGCACCAGCAGCAGCAGCAGCAGCTGCAACAGCAGCAGCAGCAGCTGCAACAGCAGCAGCAGCAGCTGCACCAGCAGCAGCAGCAGCAACTGCAACAGCAGCAGCAGCAGCTGCACCAGCAGCACCAAAAGCAGCAGCAGCTGCAACAGCAGCAGCCGGCGCCGACGACGACAGCCGTAGTGGCTGCACCGGAGCCGGGGACTGGCGGAGCGAGTGCGCAGCCGGCGCCACGCAGCAAGGTGCACGCGATGGAGGAGCTGGTGAAGAAGGTGTCGGGGAACATCCAGAAGGCGGAGGAGAGCCGGACGCGCGCGCGGGTAAAGTCGCCGCTCGTCGCCGTGCCCGCCGCCGCCGCCGCAGCCGCGGCGAAAAGCGAGGGCGGCCCGGACGTGAAGAGGGCACGGAGCTCGGCGAGGGGCGGCAGCCACAGGCATGGGGGGGACGGCGCGCCGGCCAAGAGGAGGGACGCCTCGAGGAATACTCACAAGGAGGCGGGCGCCGGCGGCGCCGGCGGCGCCAGCGAACAGGGCAAGAGTTTTCCGGCGGTAAGCTACCAACCGCCCGAGAAGGCGCCGGTGAACCCGCTGAGCGCGCTGCAGTCCGTGATGAATGCCCACCTGGGCAAAGTGGCCAAGCCGACGGCGCCGGTCACCGACCCCATCTCCATGCTGTACAAGATGAGCAGCGGGCTGCTGGACAAGCTGGTGGCCGCCACGCCGCCCGCGCAGGCGCGGAGCTCCGAGCCGCTGGAGGCGTCGTTCTACCGGCAACGCCGGCGGCAGGAGGACGGCGGCGGCGTTGGCGTCAGCGGCGTCGGAGGCGTCGGAGGCGTCGGAGGCGGGTCGTCGGACCAGCCCATCGACCTCACCAAGTCGGCGAAGGGCGACGCCAACGGGCAAACGGACGGCCGCGTCACGCCGACGCCCGGGCGCCAGCCGCCGCCGAAGCCGCCTCGCGCCCCGTCCAGCACCGGCTCGGAGAGGTCGGACGCGGACGGCCGCGGCGGCGGCTGCAGCGGCGGCGGCTGCAGCGGCGGCGGCAGCGGCAGCGGCGGTAGCAGCGCGACGGAGGAGGCGGACGACCCGGCCAACGGGCGCAAGCGCAAGGGGCGCCAGTCGAGCTGGAACCCGCAGCACCTGCTGCTGCTGCAGGCGCAGCTGGTGGCTGGCCTGCGGAGGAGCGGGGACGGGAAGTACGTCGTGCCGGACCTGAGCAGCAAGGCGCGCGCCAGCGTCGCCCGGCTGACGGGCGTCGGCGTGACGACCATCAGCCACTGGCTGGCCAACGTCAAGTACCAGATCAAGAAGAGCGGCGGCACCAAGTTCCTCAAGCACATGGACACGGACCACCCGGTGTTCTACTGCGCCGGCTGCGCGCTGCAGTTCCGCTCGCCCGCCGCCTACGTGGCCCACCTGGAGTCCCACCTGGGCTTCCAGGTGGGCGACCTGCCCGGCGTGTCGGAGGAGCGGCTGCGGGAGTGGGCGTCGCGCGGGAGGGCGCCGGCAGCCGCGGCGGACGACGACGACGGCAGCGGTGGCGGCGCCAAAGCGGCGCCGGGTGGCAGGAACGAAGGGGGGGAGGAGGAGGCGGAGGAGGCGGCGGCGCTGGCGTTGCCGGTGAGGGGCAGCGACGGGTGCGGGCGGGGGTCGAGTGACGGAGACGGCGGCGGCGGCGGTCGCGCCGTCAAGCTGACGAGGAGCCGTGCTCACCACGGCAGGAGCGGGGGAGGAGGAGGCGGCGGCGGCGGCAGCGGCGGTGGCCAGCGGACGACGTCTGCTGATAACGGGAAGAACTCGTAGCCAAGGTGAGAGGAGCGCGCTTGTGTGTGTGTGTGCGTGCGCGCGCATGTGTGCGTGCGCGTGTGCGGAGAGCGGTGGTGCAGTGGTTAGCAGCGCCGCGCCCTCCCGCCCGTGCTCCCCTCTCTCTGAATCGCCTTCCCCTGGCTGTCCCGCGGCCTTCCGTGCTCCCGTGCCCTGCCCGGCACGCGACGGCATCTCGGGTGCCGAGTGTGAGAATGGGTGTCCGGCAGCTGGATGCGAGCGTTCAGGTTGCGCTTGTGCGGCCGTCTGGAACGCCGCTCTCCCTCTCGATGTTAGGATGCCGCTGGAGCTATGACCTCGTCCATTATCTCGATTGGAAACTCGCGTCTCGAGAATTGCTTCTTGTGCTCAGTTTGTTGTCCGTCACCCCGCACCTCCGATTAGCACGGTGAGCTACGTACGGTGCAAAAGAAGTTCAACATATGTACATACAGGCTCTACGGTCCAGATGTTTTCACCTACCCACTCATTCACCCGCTCACCTGCTTCACTCACCTACTCACCCACCTCTCCCACCTACCTACTCGCCTACCCACTCATTCACCAACTCACTCGCCTTCTCACCCACATCGCTCACCTGTGTGCTGAGTCTATGGGTCTGTGTGTGGTTAGTTTGTGGGTCGCTGTGTGGTAAGTCTGTGGGTCTCTGTTTGGTGAGTCTTGGTCTATGTGTGGTGAGTCTATGGATCTCTGTGTGATGAGTCTATGGGTCTCTGTGTGGTGGGTCTGTGGGTCTATGTGTGCTGAATCTGTGGGTCTATGTGTGGTGAATCTGTGGGTCTCTGTATGGTGAATCTGTGGGTCTCTGTGTGGTGAATCTGTGGGTCTCTGTGTGGTGAGTCTATGGGTCTCTGTGTGGTGAGTCTATGGGTCTCTGTGTGCTGAGTCTGTGGGTCTCTGTGTGGTGAGTCTGTGGGTCTATGTGTGGTGAATCTGTGGGTCTATGTGTGCTGAGTCTGTGGGTCTATGTGTGCTGAATCTGTAGGTCTCTGTGTGGTGAGTCTGTGGGTCTATGTGTGCTGAATCTGTGGGTCTCTGTGTGGTGAGTCTGTGGGTCTATGTGTGCTGAGTCTGTGGGTCTATGTGTGGTGAGTCTGTGGGTCTATGTGTGCTGAGTCTGTGGGTCTATGTGTGTTGAGTCTGTGGGTCTCTGTGTGGTGAGTCTGTGGGTCTCTGTGTGGTGAGTCTGTGGGTCTATGTGTGCTGAGTCTGTGGGTCTATGTGTGCTGAGTCTGTGGGTCTCTGTGCGAGTCTTTGTCCCGTATGTATTTTGAACTTTCGCACCGTACGTAGCCAACTGTGGGCGGTGTGAGGTGCCGGAAATTGGACGTGCAACACGGCGGGGCCCGGTTCGAATACAAGCACCATTGGCCCCTGCCGTCGCCGGTGCCGTCGCCGGTGCTGACGCGGTCGCGAGATTATCGCGCGATCGCGGTCGCTAGATCGTCCCTCTCCGCCCCCCCCCCCCGCCACCCCCCCCCCCCCCCCCCCCCCGGGAGATTCTTCGGGGTTTCGGTGGAGCGTCCGTCTCGCTCTCGCCGATCGCGCCGAGTTCGCCGTCAGCTCGCGGCCGGTGGCGCGGCGCGGCCGGGTTCCCCGTGGGGGCTCCCCGTGGGATTTGTCCCCTTTGTGAAAGTATTCGTGGCGACTCGCCCCATCGCTGGCTCGGAAAAGTCGCTCGCCTCGTCACGCCGGAGTGTTTTGTTCGCTCTGAGGCGTTACGCGTAAATCTCCCCCTACTACACAATGCGTTTACTTACAGAAAGACAAAGATCCCCCGTTTAGCCTTGACAGACAGTCGGGGCAAGTGCTGTTAGCGAGCGCCTATGAAGGCCAGCACTGTGGTACACGAGGGGGTGGGTGGCCTGCACCATGCCCGGCTGCCTTTGTCTCCCCAGTGGCGATGTTTACACACCGTACCAGGTACTCATTTGAGGCTGAGTCGACCTAGGGGAAGGCCATGACCGGTTCAGATAATTATCTCGAAAAACTATTTGTATTACTTCAGGATAAATACATGTTAATTTTGATTCATATGTTGTTTTTTTCTGACTTTATGTGAACGAAAAGACACAAATTCGCCCGTTTTCTCATTTAAAATAGGTACATTTCAAAATATCACTGTCCTGGTCACGAAAGCAAAGTTTGTGGGGAATAATAGCCATTTTGTTTACTTTTTAGGCATCAGCAGTTATGAAATAACACTTACTACCCAGCAACAAAAATTGTGTTAGACCGTCTAATCGTCACTGGTGTTGGTGGCCATGAGCGGCAATCGAACCCAGGTCGCCGGGTTCTATTCCCGACCTCCCGCCGTAGCGCGGCGCCCTGGTGGTGAGCTCGGGTGGGGGGTGGGGGGGGTGGGGGGCACGGGAACGGCCGTGATTGGGGGGGCCGACGTCCCAACATGGTTGGGAACCGCCGGCCTAATGCCTCCATGCTGGAGAGGCACGAAGTCCCCGAGCCCCCTCCCTCCCACCCTCCCTCCCTCCGCTGGTGGCACCAGCGCGTGCAGCCGGTTCATCAGCTGACCCTTGAGCCAAGCAAACGGGAGCCCTGCCCCTTTCCCCCACCACCGCCGCCATCACCACAATCACCATCGCCATCACCATCGCTATCACTACCGACTGCCACTGCCATCACCACCAACCACCACCGCCATCACCACCATCGCCATCATCACCATCGCCATCACAATCGCCATCGCCACCGCCATCGCTACCGACTGCCACCACCGCCATCACCGTCACCACCGCCATCACTGCCGTCGCGAGTGTCGCTCTCTCCGCGCCGAGCCCGGGCCCTCCCGGTGGCGTGCGCGCCTCCGCGTGCCGGTCCCTCGCCGTAATTGTCACCGTTAATTGACAACCCGCGGCGTGGCGGGGCCCCGCTGCCGTGACGAGCGGTGGCGGCGAGGAGGGAAAAAGGAAAAAAACCCGACGCTCTGCGGCACAAATTGCCGACATAATGAGATGAAATTGTCTGCACCTCCCCAACCGCGCGCACCTCCCCCCCCCACCCCCCCCCACCCCCCCCCCCATCCGCGTGTCGCTGCCGCAATCAGCCAGCCCCTCCATCCTCCCCCTGCGCTTGATGAGCCGTCTTCATCATCGCTCGTCGCGCGAGCAAAATAATATTTGAGTGGTTTTCTTTTGGGGGGGGGGGGGTGGAGGGGTGGGGTTGGGGGGTGATGGGGGGGGCCGTCACCGTCACCATCGCTGACGATTGTGAACCGGCGTGAGCCGATCTGATGAACCTCATCAATTATTGAAAGCCCCGAGCCACGTCACCAAAAAAATAATCATCTAAAAAAGTTTCATTGTTGCGAGAGAGTGAGAGTGAGAGAGAGGGTGAGAGAGAGAGTGAGAGAGAGGCATTGCAGCCCTTTTAATTTCGGTGCCTCGAGGAGACATGAGAAGGTGATAATCACCAAAGAGGAAAGGAGAGGTCATTAACACCTTTGGCAAAAGCAATATTCTGAGCTGTGGGTGGCACCATTAACAAGCAAACAGCATTTCCCATTCAATTACACCGCCCCGCTAATGTCGCCTCGCACGGAGGTGCGTTGTCAGCCCCGTCTGAACGAGACGCGCCGCGCCCACAGATTAACCCCTCCGTGCGCCGCGCTGGCGGCGCACGCCGGTTCTCTCCGGCGGGCGACGCCACCGCCGTGACCCCCTCCGCGACCCCCGCGTGACCCCAGGGGGAGGGAGGGAGAGGGCGGCGGCGTTCGCCCGATTCCTGTTGCGGCGACGGCGGGGTCGGAATGGCGCGTGGGCGCTCGGCGGGCAAAAGCGGAACGAAAACTGCGGGGAAAAAGAGGTGCGCCGGAGAGCGACGCACGCTGGCGGTTACGCCGAGAGGCAGAAAGAGGAGCGGGTGGGAGAACGGCCCCCCCCCATCCACCCCACCCCACTCGCGTCACAAAATAACATCGTTTGGCGCGAGCCCCGCCCGGGGCAGGACTCGTCTCGGCCAGAAGCGACGATGGCCGACGATCGAGATGGGACGCCGGGAGAGGCGGCCGGAGCGGTGAGATCGTCTCGAGCGTGGCGCAGGCTCCGGGTGGAACGCCGCACCGCACGCGCGACGGACGCGGTGACGGCTCGGAGGAGAGGGAGGTGGTGGGGGGTCATTCCATCCAGCGGTGGATAGATCGCGATCGACGTGCGTGGGAGGATGGGGGGGGGGGCGTGTTGTCCTTGTGGCACGCGGCGCCGGCGGCGACGTTCACGAGCTCCTCCCTTCGCTGGGCGTCCGGTTATCCGCCGAGATCACGCGAGAGGTGGCGATGGCTTGGTGGTGGGGGACCTTTATCCAACGGTGGATATATCGTGGCTGCTTACGATTGCTCTCAAGCACGCGGGCAGCCAGTTCCGCGGACGGGAGCTGGCGGAATGGGCTGGCCCATCTCGAGGGCGAGGAGAAGGAGGAGGAGGTGGGGGATGAGCTGAGGAAGATGAGCAGAGGGAGGACGAGGAGAGGAAGAGCAAGGAGGAGGTGGAGCGGGAGCAGGGGGAGAGGAGGAGGAGGGGGGGGGAGGAAGAGGATGAGGCTCCAGCGATGCGGGCTGCATGGGAAGTGCCGATTGATCGATAAATCTGTCTTAGCCCTGCTCCAGCACGAGGGGCCCTGGGAACACAAACCTCAGGCCACAATTGAGCTCTTAATGGAGTGGAGTTTAATGAATTGGGACGGCCTCGCTGTGGCCGGCGTGGGCACGGGGCGGGCGCGGGGACGGTGCCCACGGGAGCGCTCCGGAGCGCCACGTGACCCTCTTCCCTCTTGCTGCCCGGCATCCCGGGTCCATCCCCCCCGGTGGGTGCCGAAAGTCCCTCCCGTTTGCTTTTGCCACACGGGCAAATGGGCATCACGGTGGTGATGAGATGCTAACTACCTCGCCTGGTATGCAGGAGGTCGTGGGTTCGATCCCGACCCCGACGCCTGCTGCGTATTGGGAGTTTGCGTCTCTCTCCCCGTGGCC